TTACATTCTAACCTTCTTCAGGTGGTTGGAATGTTGAACTTAACCCTTTATTTTGACATTCCAACCACCTGAAGAAGGCCGAAGTGTACAACGGCCGAAACGTTGTAATAAATATGACAACAAAGATGACGACAATAGTCCAAATAATGTAAATAATGTACATAATAACTCATCTCAGAAATATAGACAGATACAAAATATTTTATATATTTAAATCTGTTATTAGAATAGATATAGAGATAAGTGTATGAAGACAAAGATACCACTGCTTGAAGTTGGTTATTTTTTTCATTACTATTAAATATGTAGATGCTTTCCAGACAGCCAACATATATATATATATATATATATATATATATATATATATATATATATATATATAAATTTTGGAAAACTTTTTTAAAAATATATCTGCTAGGGTAGTTAGACAATCTCTCTTGCAGACGCTTGCTCAAATATATTTATGTTTGTTCAACACCTACCTGTGATTTATACTGCAACTATGTTGAGCAGAACTTAGTTACAGATTCTGGGTCGAAGCACATCATCTGGCATGATAAACAATTTAGCACACTCAAACCCTCGGTCATGATGAGTTGTGACTTCAAGTTAGCACAACAAATAACATACAAATTCACTTAAATGGCTTAGCCAATAGTATGGTTTGCAGGCACTTTCATCACCTCTCCAGGGTGATAACATCAAGAAGTCACCTTCCTGAAAAAGCAACTATGGTGAGATTCAAACCTGGGTCTCATGGTCAGAAATGCAAACCTCTTGACCACATGTCCATTACATATAATGAATTTATAAAATCTGTTCAAGAAATGAAAACACTTATTAGTCCATCACAAAGGAAGTTATATTTGTATGAAATTTTCTAACTTGACTCCCACTTATTTCCCTTAGATCTTATCTGATAAATTATTTCAGATAAAGACAAAATCCAGGCCAATTTTTTATTAGAAAAAGAAAATAAATGATCTTCTTGTGTTTATTGGATAATCAAAAATGAGTCACATGCTAAATCTGTCAACTTAATAATTTTAAACTTTCTCAACACATAATAATGTTTGTGTATATACAATAAATTTATGCACCATGAAATTTCTGATTTATGAAAGGTTTGCCCAGGGTTTTGATATTTAAAGCTTTTGTTAGAAATTATATATATATATATATATATATATATATATTCATGTATATCCAAGTACAGGGTTTTTTGTTTTGTTTTTTTTTACATCAACACCATCACTTGATAAGACACCAAAAGTGTTGAAATCTTTGTAGTGATGTTATAAAATGCATATGTTATAATTTTGAATAAATATTTTATATATATATATATATATATATATATATATATATATATATGCATATTACATTTCTTATATATGTAAGAATACACGATTTTAACGTGCTTTTTAATACAATAAAAAATAACATATTTTAATGTTATTTAACCATTAATAGTGCTGTTTCATGTATAACAAGTTTTCAAAATGGACGGTTGTTTATTAATAACACTCCTGTGATGTATTGTTTTTTATATGCTTTTTAAGGAGTAAATAGTTTTCAGTCTGTTTAATCTTTTCCTCGACTATACCCTGAACATATTAAAGCACAGATCATTTCAGCATTCCATACCATATCACAAATAAATCTTCTAATAGAAAGTAACAACTGTGCTTCCCCTCCTGAGGTCAATGTAGCGATGATGATGAAGTATATGCTGATCACATATATATTCAAAGTTGAGATAAGAATGATATTGAACAGAAAATCAACATCCCCAATCAAATATTCCATGAAATAGGACTTGAGATAAACTTTTCCAAAACAGAAATTATGATTTGGAATTGACATGAACACAGTGATGTTACCTAGTCAATAAATCATAAAAATTTAAGAATTAGTAGATACCAAACACTTCAAATACCTCAGTTTATGGATTAGTTATAGCAAATTCAGTATAGGAGAGAAGGTAATTGAACATAGAACAGGTTGTGTTTCAGGTAGTTTCACTCATACCATAAACTGCTACAAAACCTTAACCCTAAAACCTCAAGTCATATCCTTAAATGGTCTCATCAGATCAAGACGTTCATATGAATATCATGCATGGCAACAATCTTGTTCAGAAATATCTAAACTATCAGCTGTATACGACTTTCATGGCTTTGAGTGAATGAAACCTGTAGATCTTAATGAGGACCATTCTTCTTTGAACCTTGAGGACTGGCACTACAGAATCACAAAGAACTGTATCAAATAACAGAAACCACATCATTTGAGGATATTCAACAGCAGCAACAACTAAAATGGATAGCACATGTAACTCTCAAAAAGAAAATAATCTAGATCTGTGTTTCTCAACCAGTGCACCCGGGTGAACTAATGTACCCTGAAAGGTAGCCAGGTGCACCCCAGTTTAACAGAAGAATAATTTATGAATTATTTTTATATTTTAAAAAAAAAAATCTTTCTTTTTAAAAAGCTAGAGGCACCAAGAACATGACTTCCATGTCTAAGTCAAGTATTTCATTTGATCTTTTAAACTGAATGCTAAATTTTTTAATCTTTAAGAAGAGGTGGATAATCCTTTGCCCTCTGCCTTTCAAAATGGATTTAAATCAGTCATTATCAGCCTCTAAAAAAATAGCAGATTCTTCATAAACCCCTGTTATATCTCGTGCAAGATATAATAAACAAAGTAAACCCGAGTGTTGGTTTTCAATAATAATTTTATAATCGGATGTAGGTATGTCAAAATACAGAGACAGAGTCAGGAGTATGCTAACCTCAATAGGTGTTAACAAACGGAGACCTTTTTCTTACTGTTCGCTGTGGTCGTACTTTATCGGCAACCAGTCCGTCCATTATCGTGAATGGGGAAGTTGGGTTATCTCATCACAACAACCCCCCTTTAAATGAATACTGTACCACTAATCTTCTTTGCAAATGCTAAACCAAAATTTTCTATTTTCAAATTTCATGACTAATTTTTCCTTATTAACATTTAAAATGTGCCCTAGATTTTTAGTTATTCCTCAAGTACGCCCTAAGTTAAAATAGTAAAAAATAACTGATCTAGATATTGACATTCCACACTACATCAAACAAAAGGTTAAGAAGGAAATCTTCATTAATACTAGAAATACAAGTGAGTGGACTTGAGAAACCTATTTTCCTGAAAAATTGTTTTAACAGAAAGATTTTATAAATTTCAACAGATAATATCACTGGTTGCTCAGTCAATGAATGCCAAACATTTCCTTATAAGGAAATATTACCATTATCATTACCAGAATTCAAATGCTGACAAAGGTCATTAGCTTTACTCTTCGCTGCAGTTTTATTTAAATACACACCTAGTCTGAATTTTGTCAGATGCTATGTTTAAATCATCGGATGACTGATATTAATTTCTTTGTTGTTTTTTTTCATCACGTTTTAGCTGCGTACCCTCCAGCTTGCATGTTTTGTGTATGCTATTCTTAACGTTTGTTGGTAGAAGCATATCTCTATTGCTTCAAGTTGTAATTTTTTTTTTATCAGTGAGACTATCCAGCCATCATTGCCAAACAGGAGATTAAATATTACATGGCAGTACAGCAAGATTTTCTTTCTTTGTAACACTATCTTCTCATGTCTTAATATATAGCTTAGTTTTTGAAAGACATCTTCCACTATTCCGATGCACCTTCAGATTTTCGTGTCCCATCTTCCATAGTCTATTATCTGTAACTGCTAGGTTCTGATATCCCCAATATGTATTTCTGACTTTGGACTGTCTCTTTTACTAACAATTTTGCATTCTATCTTCTAAAGTTAACAATCATTTCTTTTTGATTTCCATTACTACCTTGACTCAGAATTATTTCTGCTTTCCTTTCTCAGCCAACCATCAGCAAAGGGTCATCTGCGTATCTTATGTCATTTTGATTACTCCTACTGATAATAAATCCTGGTAGGTCTTCTAGTTCTTTTAGGATTTCTTTTTCTATACAGGTTGAACCAATCAAGTAATAAAGCACATCCTTGTCTTACTACTCTTTCCATTTTTGTGTATTCCCTATTCCCTGTCAACATACAGGGTGTTTGTTCCAAGTAAAGGTTATAGATTACTCACATATCTTTCACATGTAAATCAAGCTTTTCCTGTATTTCAAATAATTCTTCATGTCTTATCTTTTAAAATGCTTTTGCTTTATTCATACAAAACTTAACAAATCCTAGAGTAAATACTGCTGGAATTTAGGGAAAGAGATTCATATTATATGTCAGAAAGTAAAGGGGCACCTCTGAATGGTTTAATGGTTAGCAAGCTTGTCTCACTAAAAAACACTTACAACTGAATAGTGAGTTTGATCCTCACTGGGTACCACTTAATTTCGGCATTGTGCCACATCTAAGGTATGCTTAGAAAATCTCTATCCCATGAATGTTAGCATCTAGGTTTATACATATAAACAAAATCTTAGGGCACCCCGAGGCGGTGTAATGGTTAGCAAGCTTGTCTCACTAAAAAACACTTACAACTGAATAGTGAATTTGATCCTCACTGGGTACCACTTAATTTTGGCATTGTGCCACATCTAAGGTATGCTTAGAAAATCTCTATCCCATGAATGTTAGCATCTAGGTTTATACATATAAACAAAATCTTAGGGCACCCCGAGGCGGTGTAATGGTTAGCAAGCTTGTCTCACTAGAACAATTATGAGAGAGTAGTGAGTTTGATCCTCACTAGGTGTCCCCTACTTTCAACTTTGTGCCACATCTAAGCTATGCTTTGAAAATCAGAACACCTCGAGGTGGTGTAATGGTTAGCAAGATTGTCTTGCTAGAAAAATTACGACTGAGTAGTGAGTTTGATCCCCACTAGGTGCCCCCTACTTTCGGCCTTGTGCCACATCTAAGCTATGCTTGGAAAATCACTATTTCAGAAACTAAAGTAAATCAAGCCTGTATAATTAAAGAAAAGCATTAATACTTACATCCTGTATCTTCGTAGATGCTAACACGATTGACAAGTCCATCTGGCATTAGATACAATGCAAATTTCTCAAGTTTGGCTTTCTTGTAGAAAATGGTCTTCTTTCCACCAGGGTACCGCATTTGAAAATCTGGAAAAGAGATGAGTGCCAAAATAGAACACATTATAAGAACAATCACTGCTTTTTTTATTCATTAAAATGTGCTGAAAAGATCCCTTATATATTTTATTACTTCAAATGTTACTACACTCAGTCCCTGCATAATCACGGTTCGGCATTCATGGCTTCAGTTATTCGTAGAATTTTCCTTAGAACCTAACTATTTGGAAACACAAATATTTCCCATGATTTTTTTATGGTTTTTTCATGGCTATATATTTTTCATACTTTTTAATGCTAAATTATTAATAACAATATAATTTACTAATTTTCTAATATAAATACTAATATAAATTCAGCAAAATATCAATATAAAATAAACACTATTGGCTGGAGGTTTGAAAGTAGCCAATCCAAGAGCATTAATCATTTTTCCTTGCTGCTGATTGGCTGCTGTCCATCAGCCCCCACATCATCCCAGTTTACTGTATGTAGCTATCTCAAGTGTTTCTCAGAGTGTTGTGTCTTTCACAGTATGTTGCTTAAAGCCTTAAGATGCTTCCCAAATTCCCTAAACCTTCTAAGGCTTCTGGCAATTAACCTAAGTGCCAGAAAAAGGTTTTGATACTCCAGAAGAAGGTACAAATGTTGGATATGCTATGGAAAGGCAAAACTTATGCAACAGTAGGCCGCCATTATGGCTTCAATGAAATTAAGATACACTATATAAAGAAGAACAAGGCAGTGATCAGGAATACTGTAGCAGTAAGTTTCTGTGAAAATGTCAAAAGAGTCATGACAGTGAGAAATAAGCACATAGTCAGAGTGGAATCTACCTTGACATTGTGGATCATTGACTACAAGAAGAAAAACATCCCCTTGGACAGTAACAGCATATGTGAGAAAGTCCAGAAATTATACCAGCAGTTTGCTACAAAAGACAAAGCAGAAGGCACTGAAGTCAAGCAGGACTATTGACAGCACTGGAGCCTAAAGATTTTCAAGCCAGCAAGGGATGGTTTGACTGTTTCAAGAAATGGTCTAAAATAAAGTGTTTCTCTACATGTAGATGCAGCATCTGCTGACAAAGAAGCAGCTGAGAAGTACCCCAAAACCTTCATGAAAATCACCAATGAAGGGATAGAATCTGCAACAGGTTTACAGTATGGATGAGACTGGCTTATTCTGGAAGAAGATGCCTTCCAGAACATATATCATGAAAGGCAAAACCAGAGTCCCAGGATTTAAGGCACAAAAGAGCAGAGTGACACTCATTATGTGTGGAAATGTTGCTGTCGTCATGATGAAACCAGGCCTTATTTACAAGTCCGTGAAACTTAGAGCCCTCAAGAATAAAAATAAAAACCTGCTGCCTGTCTACTGGATGCACAGCCCCAAGGCCTGGATCATAAAATCTTAATTTTGAACTGGTTCCATCAATGCTTTATCCCTCAAGCCAAGGAATATCTCCACAACTTAGGTACAAAATTGTTGTTGCTCATTATGAACAATGCTAGTGGCCAGCCTTTGGATATGTATTATGATGGAGTACAAGTTGAGTTCCTCACAGCCAATACAACCTCCCTCATCCAGCCTTATAGATCAAGGCATGATCTTCAAGGCACTTTACACTCTGAACTCTCTCCAACACTGTGTAGACACAGTGAACTCATATGAGAATTTCATGTTAAAGGGTTATTGGAGAAACTTTGTGATCACAACAAGCCTGTCAGTCATCCAAGCTGCTCTTAAGGACATGAAAAAAGAAACCCTCAATGCATGCAGAAGGTATGGCAAGAGTGTGTCCATGACTACAAGGGCTTCTCACCTGAAGAAATTCAGCATGTCAACATGGCAGTAAGACTGACAAAGGTACTTGGTGGTGAAGGTTTTGACGACATCATGTAAGATGAGGTCAACAAGGGCTTCTCACCTGAAGAAATTCAGCATGTCAACATGGCAGTAAGACTGACAAAGGTACTTGGTGGTGAAGGTTTTGACGACATCATGTAAGATGAGGTCAACAAGGGCTTCTCACCTGAAGAAATTCAGCATGTCAACATGGCAGTAAGACTGACAAAGGTACTTGGTGGTGAAGGTTTTGACGACATCATGTAAGATGAGGTCAACAACCTCATCGATGCCCACTCTGAGCCTATGATGGTTTGGAGTTAACAAAGTCTGCCTGTGAAGAAAAGGTGGAAACAACAGATGCAGAGTAAGAAGAGGAGGGCCTGACATTGGAACATCTGTCCAAACTTATGACATCAAAGGAGTTGCAAGGGAAGGCTGAAGCATATGTTTTAGTCCCTCCAATGTAAAAATGCCATCAATACTGCTATGTAGACATAGAAAACCCTCCTCACCACCATGAAGAAACAGCAACTTCCCATCACAATCTTCCTCAAGCCGGACAAAGAAAACCTTGCACAAAGATATGACTCTTCCTGAAGCACCTGAAAAGGTGACGCATGAGGAGCTTTAAATCCTCTCCTTTGCTATGAAGTAATTATTTTAATCCTACTGCACAATTAATTCATTATCATAATCTTCAATCAATATCACTCATTAAAGGTGAGTCCCCATACATTTTACTGTATTTTTTACTAAATTATTATTATATACCAGCAGTAGAGTCCGGCGTTGCCCGGGGATGTAACAGTAAGAGATAGATCAAGTATCGACCATCATAAAGACTGAAAAATAAAATTGACAAAGATTATTGTTTAAGGTTGACGTACACGCATGTCTTAATTAATTTTTTTTTGTTTTGTTTTGTTTTTTTTACGAATTGGTCAAACCCAAACTCAAACAAAAACATTGTTTTCAATTGTCATGAGTCTACCAATTGAATAGAATTTTATTATAAACAATTGTCTTGTAAATGGAATTTTTTTTACGTAGTGCTGTGAAGTTTTGTTGAAATCAGTTGAAAAATGTAGGAAATCCGATCCAATATCTAAACGAACAGACACACACACACACACACACACACACACACACAACTTGGGTTTTATAATAAGTATGATTTTACATTATAGCCTCAGTTTTCTACAGAATTCTGAAGCATCATCTTTCATTTCCACTACATTCGGTTTTTGGGTGTTGATTGTGTGGGGGTTAATGATTTTTGTGAAATGTTACTTTCATTTTCTTCATGGTTGTGGGCCAACTCATGTCCATGTAGTTCTGGTTTCTCTCTAAAAAAATGGTTATGGTGGGGTTCCTCTATATTGTTTTTAATATCAGTATGTTTTATGTTGCTGTATTTGTGATTATTATGTATTTTTGTATTGGATCTGTTGTTCTGTCCTTTATGTGTTAACTTTGGTTCAGTCTGGGGTTATTTCTGTAGTTCCGATTTTGTGGTCTGTTTGCACCAAAGTTGTTGCTTCTATTTGTTGCTCTGTTTTTATATGTATTTTCTATGTGGTTGTTTCTTCTGTTGTGGTATTGGTTTTGTCCAGAATAGTTTATGTACATCCAAGGTTTGATTGTTGGTCTATTTGTGTGTTGGAATGATGGTGGTTGTCTTAGAGGATTTTTCATTTCCCTTTTTTCAAGCTTTTGGGCTGGATTTTGTCTATAGTGTGATTTCCTTTTATGACTTGAAAATTGGGGTAGCATGGTGTCGCCATGTTTTTCTATGTGGTTATTTTTTATTTTCTTAAAGAACGGATTTTCTTCACTGTCTTCTATTTTTAATTGTTCTTCATAGTTTGAAAAGCAGTTTTTGTTTTTCTCCCATCTCTGTAGAGATATTCATTCCTCATTCTCCTCATCTTGTTTCCATTGTTTATAAATGCCGTTGAGTGGATCTTCATCATAAGATTTTGAGATTTCAATTTCCATTTGTTTATCAATGTCTTTGTATTTTGGTTCATTTCTGCTTGCTCTTAGTTTCATTAGTTTGATTTCATTACACATTTTTTCAACTGACAGTTTTTGTTGTATTTCTCTTTGTAGTTCTGGTTCTTTGTGGATCGGTTTTAATTGTACTTTCCTTGGTACTATCAATGGCATTGAGTTCAGTCACTCTGGCAAGGAATTGATAGTAAGTTAATATCTCATTAATTCTTGTTAGTGAAGTGATATCACCATTAACACATTAAAATTGCTATTTAATTCTTTGTATAAATTGTTTCTTTATGATACAATCTATCAGCTGCACATAAGATCTGCAGCACAGTAATAATCAGAATCTTAAAATATGTGGAAATCTACTAAGACATTTTTACTCTACTAATTGGATTATACTAATTTCATTTCACTTTAATAGATAAATACATATAACGAGAAAATTTTGTGGATTTATAACTTTTCAAAATTCAAACAAAATTCTCACTTGAGCGATTTGAACAAGGACTCTAGATTCGTAGCATCACACGCTCCAAAACGTATATTCAACTTTCAATAAATAGCATAATTTAAAAAAAACATCTTTCAGTCTACACATATTTCATCTATTTGCCTATGTATGGGAAAACTGTATCCTGAACATAACAATTTGAAATTGTTGAAAGTATTTGGCATGTGTCTTCCATCTGATAATAATTCGAATATAAGGATCTTATTATTCAAGGAATTGATAGTAAGTTACTGTCTCATTAAGTCACATTAACATTGCTATTTAATTCTTTGCATAAATTGTTTCTTTATTATATATATATATATATATATATATATATATATATATATATATATATATATACTCACACACACATATATATATCATAAATTGTTTCTTTGTGATATATATGTATATATATATATATCATATAGATTCAGCAAAACAGTGTTGCATGTGGATGACTATATATATACGTTTTGATGAAATGATTGACACAAGGTGTGGTGGTTGTGTTTTTATATAATTTCCTAATTTTTTATATAAGGTTTTTTTAAAATCTTTTCAGGAAAAAAATTATATAAAAACTGTCTGAATGTTTTACAAACACTTTTGGCTGCACTTTTAGTCATTATCAACTCACTGATAATAGAAATATAATAACCTCATCCACATGTACGAA